TAAAAAAAAAAGAAAAAAAGAAGAAGAGAGATTGGGTGACCTTAATATCTTCAAGCATCCAATTAAATGTAAGGGTGGCAATTGAATTCCATAAACCAAGCTTTCAGATTTGGGACTGGGTTAGAAAGTTTAAACTCGACTCATAATTTTATTTAAGTTTTGGGCTCATATCGAGTTCGGCTCAAATTTATAATTAGCTACATAATTATCTATAATACGTTAATAGTTATAAATTATGATAAATGTGTATAGAAATTATTAATATTTTAATGTGTATAATTATATATTATATTAGCATTTAATATGCAATTACATATATTTTATATGTAATTATACATATGAACAGGTTGGACTTTAAATCGAACTTGAGCCTAGTAAGATCTAAATTCAACTCGCATCTAATTTGAATCTATTATTTAGATCCGAACTCTACTCAATCTTATTAAATATAAGGCTCATCGGACTTTTTTATAAGCGAAATAGGCCGGACTCGGGCTAGCCCAGCCCTAATTGAAAGGGCAGCTGTGCGTATGTTAAAGAATTTGAAGTACTGGTTGTCTAGGCTTCTTGAGTGTATGATGTTGATTAACCATTGATGCATATTGAAGCGCAAAGAAAATGAGGAGAAAAAAAAACTACATTTTGATATCTGGTACGTGCTATAATTTAGTTCTATATTTTAATACTCTAATTATTTGTCATTAATTCATTGTCCTTAAAATCAATATGGCAACCAGTGGGACGCTTTTATGTGAAACAAGAGGTCGTTTGATGTCTTTACTTGAAACACCAATTTGTATTGTAGATAGCATCACATGCCAATTGCCATGTACCAATCAAAAAATTTCCGATGAAAATCAAATTTCAATAGGTAATGACCAAAAGATTTTCTTCTAATACACTCGGCATGTTTTTCCTTTCATTTTTTTTTAAATATTTTTAACATAGAAGGGATGGAATTTAAGAAGCGAGAAAAGGAATAAGGAATTTGAACAGAAAATTTTTAATTCTTAAAATTTCAACTTTAATCATTAGATCGATACCTCATCAACACATGCTAAAAGAATAAATTTTTTTAAACGCGTCGAAAAAAGATTTTTTTTTTTATTTTTAAACTTTTCATTGATATTGGACGTACTTGAAAATTGTTTTGTATATTACAAAAGAGATTATACAACATAAAATGAATCAAAATTCACAACCAAAAATGCACAAGCACACCACAACAACAGTATTGAGATCAGGTGTGTGAATAGATTATTTGCTTAACTTGACCACCACTAATTCAATTAATTGATTTTTTTTTTTTTGACAAAAGAAACGCAGCAGCTGTCTGAAAGTGCGCGCTGGATAAATTTTTGTTGACAGGGAACCCAATTGGTAGGAAGACACGATATCAATTCTATCATTTCGGCCAATTCAATTAAATATGTTGATGTTTTGGATTTGTATTTTTTTTTTTTGCAGATATTTCAACTGCAAAATATTGGTTAATAACGTTAATTAAATCCAGATTGTATTCCAATAAATTTCAGAGTGTAACAGAAACAAGTAGCTGTAGTTCTTTATCCAGTAATTGAAGTTAAATTAAAAGGTTTTGAATTCATCAACTAGAAAGAAAAACTGAAATTGCAGTAATCTGCCTCCCATTCCCCTAGCCGCGTATGCATAATCCGACTCTACCATTTAGATATTCTGAGCTGCAGTTTGTTTATTTTGCCAAAAAATGCGAGGGGCTGTTTTATTCCCCCAGCAAGCGCCTTCCTTTCGCTGCATCGGTCGAAGTCTTATGTGCCATAAAACGACTGCTCTGTTTCGAGTCTAATCTGTAGAGCTCGTGACGCGCGCGAATCTTACGGCCGAAGACATGTGACTCCCGGCAAATTAAAGGCCTAGGAGACAAAAAGATACAGACAGATCTTATTATGCAGGATATCCCCGCACAGATATTTTTGCTGCAAAACAAAAGTTACAAACAAAAAATGGATTTTTTTTTTTTTTACCGCATACGTGTCCCCCACTCTGCTGGATAAGATAGTAAGAGGCCACTACTGCTGTCGTTTTATTTGTCACAAAAAAATCAAAACGCTTCTCCTTTTAGTCAGCCTGTTGCTTCTACTCCGTATATTCTTACGACCAGTCATCGTCTAATTTTTGTCTTGACACGAAGATGCTGTCATAAGCACGTTGGTCGTGTTCAAGAACTCTAGCATACAAATTGTAAAGTCCATGTCTATACGAGTGTTTCAAAATTGATCCCCATTTTTTGTTTTTAGTGTTAGAAGTATGGCAAGGATTTTTTTTTTTTTTAATAACAAGGATACTTCATTGTTCAGCACTATTTGGTTTACATTACTATCATAATGGTAGATTAAATATGCATTAGAAAAATTACAAATTTGCAATTTAACGTATATAAAAGATCTAAAAAATTATGAATAATAAATTTTAAAAGTGTTTTCTAATACATAAATCCTTTTTGCGTGTGCTGCAATCGTTAGATCTGTTAATCAACGATTTCAAATTCCAATAATAGTGATGAAATTTATCGAAATATATCCAAGATCCAAAAAATATTCAAACCTGACAATTAGTTCTAAAGTAAATTCAGATCTAACAACAAAATATATATAAATCTCTACAGGAATCTAACAGAATTTAAAATTCTCGCCATGGATTATTAGGGAAAATAGAAAACTATCACTAAGAAAACTTATGAGATAGTTTATTGGAAAAAATAAAATAAAACGGAATTCATGGGATCCTAAGAGAAGGCTTGGTCATGCTATGGAATTCATGGGATCGCAATGGAATTTGTTTCTATCCCTTCCTCGCTTGGTCATGCTCCCAATAAATTCTAGAAAAAGATATTTCTGCAACTTACTTATCCTAAACGCATGCACCTCTCCATGGATTTTTTTTTTTATTTTTTTCCTGTTTTAGAGCAATGAATTAAAAGTTGTCTTGATCATAATTAATTATATAACGAATAAGAGAAAGAACAGCATGCATACGGCTTTGTTTTGAAGAAATACTCCAGAAGAACACGGCAAACTAAGGAGTTCCCGGTTAAAACTACTACTTTATCGCGTGAAGAATAACGTGGCATGGCTGGAACTGGAAGGACCAGATCTCAATTATTGTGCCATTACCCTAACGAGACAAGTTGACTACACTTCAGCTCTCTGAACTCAGAATATGTCATACACAACAATAATAATAATAATGTATCTAGCCGTCGTATAAAATGTTAACTCTAAAAATAAACTATTAATTCATAAAACTGTGTCAAAAGAATCTAAAATATCTTTTGCTTTTCCAACAATCCATTAGAATTTTTCGTCCCATTTCTTTGTCACTTGTTACATAATCACCGATAATGCCGTGAGATTGTAGTAAAGGCAATCCCAATTATCAAAAAGCTCCAAACAATCATATAGAAAATGCTGGAAGCTCTGGGAAGAGAGTTGGGGCCAGGTCATTTCTCAAGCTACAAGTAATATACTTAGACATAAGCTTTTTTTTTTTTTTTTTTTTTTTTTTTTAAGATATAAGCTCTTGTTTTCTTTTTTGAAAAAAAAAAAAAAATTCAATAGGAGAGGAATGGAAGTTGTGGAGAAAGGGGGATTTAAATCCAAGACATCTGCCGCTATAAATCGTCAAACCTAACCCATTCAATTAATAATGCATTTCCTCGCCGAAACTGAGACATAAGCTCAGCGTCCACGTGCTCCCCCCCAACAATGATTAGCGTCCACGTCTTCCAATCACTTCCCTGAAGAACGCAAGCTGCTTCTTTCTCCGATAATTTTCATAACATTCAACTGCCATTTGTAGCTTCCCCAGTTGTCCGCTTGCGTAGTACTCCTATAATTCAATTCTTAGGTGCCACGAAAATGAATAAACTAACTCCACTGGCCCCCCCTCCCAATTATTAATCAGGCTTAAGACCCAGCCCTTTGATTATTGACCTCTAAATCATAGTACGTATTTAAAACCATCTCCCCCGACCCAAACAATTATCCTCATCCAGAAAGGCAAGGTTACGATTAATCAGCAGATCCAGCGATTGAAAATATGCACGGATGTCCACAGAATTATAATTATTTATCTTACTTTTTAAATTTAGAGTTTAATAATGTAATATTTATTATTTTTTAGATCTGAAGTATCTTTTATTCAGATCTGTTTTTTTGATATCTGTGTACATTTTATGATGTAATTTCTACTAATTTTAATGAAATTATAATATTTTATAAAAAAAAAAGAAAAGGAAAGGAAAGATGAACGTGTTTGGTTTACACGTATTTTTCAAATCATTTTTTTATTTCACATACATCATCGTATCAACAAAATTCTATAATATTTTTTAAAAAAAAATTATCCCAAATGACCTACTTTCCAAACGCACTAACAAATAGTATTATTATTGTCTTCAACCGTCAGATGACCTCACACTCTGTTGGATCCAGGCGTATGGATCTGGCCGGCCTCGACACGATTTTAACATTAAACCATGCTCCTTCACAAACCCCCAAGGCCCTGACGTGGAAACAGATCAGCCAAAACCACACAATAACAGCATGTTGAAAAAAAAAACAATCGCAAGCAGTCTCATGGGAAGTGGGAAGCCCACTAAATTAAAGTCCAGTCATTACAGAACACGTGTCCCCAGTTGTTCAAAATTTCTCCCCCCATTTTTGAATTTTCCACAGCTCACAAATTCATCCATAATTGCACGACTCCCAAACAGGACACGGACTTGGACTTGTGCATCTGTCCACTTTCCAATTGGCAAGTTGTCACTAGCATTCTGGACTGCCGAAATGCCGTGGATCCGACGTGGCAATCTGATCCGCCGTCAACTTTATCGACCCATTCAACTTATCTCCTCTTCTTCCACCGTCGGATGCGCGTACCTGCGGCAGTTATTTATTTATTTATTTATTTTACCCTCCCTACCCTCCCAACTCGCTCATATACGGAGCACCGTTTAGGGGCACCATTGTCACAAACAAATGGTACCTCTATCAATATCAATCTCCAGTACTGCTAAATCTGCCACCACTATAAATTGGCAGCTCCTCTCTTCTTCCCTCCAATTCACTTCACCATTAATAACTTCAACTTCTCTTGGCTTTGTTCAGCGACTATCGGCCCCTTCTAGCCTTGCTATTGCTAAATACTACCACTATTCAACGGTTCCTCGAATCTTAGCATACAAGGTATGCACAACATTTTAATTCTTCAGTATAAGTAATTTTGTATGCTGCATCTTGATGATGTGATTAGTGAGTGTTAGATGCTACCCGAGAGTGATGCACTTTTGGATTTGAATTTTTTTTTCAGGGAACTGAAGCAGAATTTGGAGCGAAAAGGAAAGAAGAAATGACGATCACGCCGGCAGTACGGATTGCGGAAAAGAAGCTGGTGGTGAAGGACAGGACAATACTGACGAACGTGCCGGACGATGTGATTGCCACGTCGGGGTCGGCGTCAGGACCGGTGGAGGGCGTGTTTTTAGGCGCTGAATTCCATAAGGATAACAGCAGGCACGTGGTGTCGCTTGGGACATTGCGTGACGTACGATTCATGGCTTGTTTCAGATTTAAATTATGGTGGATGGCCCAAAAGATGGGAGATAAAGGGCGCGAAATTCCACTGGAGACCCAATTTTTGATGCTGGAAACCAAAGACGGGTCGCATCTTGAACCCGAGAATGGTGGAGACGATGATAAGAAGATTGTTTACACGGTTTTTCTCCCGTTAGTCGAAGGACCATTTCGAGCGGTTCTGCAGGGGAATTCCCAGGATGAGCTGGAAATGTGTCTGGAGAGTGGGGATACCGACACTGTCGGATCATCTTTTACGCATTCGCTTTATATTAGTGCTGGCACTGATCCTTTCGCCGCCATCACCGATGCCATCAGGGCCGTTAAATTACATCTCAAGAGCTTCAGGCAGCGGCACGAGAAGAAGTTGCCTGGAATTATTGATTACTTTGGATGGTGCACGTGGGATGCTTTTTACCAGGAGGTGACCCAGGAAGGAGTTGAGGCTGGCATTGAGAGCCTTTCCGCAGGCGGGACCCCACCCAAGTTTGTCATAATTGATGATGGATGGCAATCTGTGGGAGGAGATGAAGCTAAGGAGGAGAAAAGAGATGATGTGGAGTCTGAGAAGCAGCAGCCGCCCTTAATGAGATTAACTGGGATTAAAGAAAATTCCAAGTTTCAGAAGAAGGATGATCCCACCGTGGGGATCAAGAATATAGTGAATATTGCTAAGGAGAAACACGGGTTGAAGTATGTGTACGTGTGGCACGCGATTACTGGATATTGGGGTGGGTTAAGGCCTGGAGTGAAGGAGATGGAGGATTATGGGCCAATAGTGAAGTATCCCAGTATCTCCAAAGGAGTCATGGAGAATGAGCCAGGGTGGAAAACTGATCCAATTGCCGTGCAGGGGTTGGGTCTGGTGAATCCCAAAAGTGTCTACAAGTTTTATAGTGAATTGCATAATTACTTGGCTTCTGCTGGGGTGGATGGGGTAAAGGTGGATGAGCAGTGCATATTGGAGACTCTTGGTGCTGGTTTGGGTGGTAGAGTTGAGCTGACCAGGCAGTATCACCAGGCTCTTGATGCTTCCATTGCTAAGAATTTTCCTGACAATGGCTGCATTGCTTGCATGAGCCACAACACTGATGCACTTTACTGGTATGTTCCTGGCCTTTTGTTCGTACTCCGAAATTTACTTTCAGTTTATGGGTAGCTCTATTATCTGATTTGTTATTATACTTAGTAAATCGATCGTAAGGATTTCTTGTCAACAGAGCCCTACTTTACCTGATTTAGGAGAGGAAATAAATACAAGACGCCTCCGATATATGCGGCACTTTAAAATTATTGATTCGGTTATCAGTATTGCGGATTTCAGGAAACATAGCAATCTTTTATGCCTGCGTAAATCACTTGGTAGGCAGAATTAGACACATCACATTGAATCAAATATACTCAGGAGTAGTGGGTGTTCAAATTTGGGTGCTCTTATCATCTGATGGTGTTTGTCCTCATGGTTCATGAAACAGTTCCAAACAGACGGCCATAGTGAGGGCGTCGGATGATTTCTTTCCGCGTGATCCTGTAACGCATACCATTCATATTGCTGCAGTTGCGTACAACAGTGTTTTCCTCAGTGAATTCATGCAGCCTGATTGGGACATGTTCCATTCCCTCCATCCAGCTGCTGATTATCATGGTTCTGCCAGGGCCATCAGTGGTGGCCCTATATATGTTAGGTGAGATTTGTTAGTGTAGCCACTACTCATCCTTTGTTTGTTAACGACACACTTTCCTTCCGCATTGGACTAAATCTTCATTCTTTTACTGTCACAGTGATGCACCAGGGAAGCACAACTTCGATCTCCTCAAAAAGCTCGTCTTGCCAGATGGTTCAATTCTTCGAGCCCGCTTGCCTGCTCGGCCTACCAAGGATTGCCTTTTCTGTGATCCAGCCCGTGATGGTGTTAGGTTAGTTTTTTTCAATTTCACTGTGTCTTTAGTAGTATTATGTTTGTTTCTCTTGTATTTCCACTCCAAAATAATTGTTATGTTTCTTGTAAACTAAAATGTGATTAGAAGCTTCAAATTCTCACTTACCTTTATCTTGCTTCAGCCTCTTGAAGATATGGAATATGAACAAATATGCTGGAGTCCTTGGAGTATACAACTGTCAAGGTGCAGCATGGAATACTGTTGAGAGAAAGAACACGTTCCATCAAACTAAATCTGAAGCCATAACGGGCTACATTAGGGCCCGTGATGTCCATCTTATAGCTGAAGTTGCCATGGATCCTGAATGGACTGGAGATTGTGCCATCTACGGTCATTGGAGCGGTGAACTTCTTACTTTGCCATATAATGCAGCATTGCCTATCTCTCTCAATGTCCTCCAGCATGAAATATTTACAGTTACACCAATCAAGGTCTTTGCTCCTGGATTTAGCTTTGCGCCTATTGGTCTCATTGACATGTTCAACGCTGGTGGAGCCATCGAGGGAATTAAATATGATATCAAGGATGGAGCTCAGTTATCTGAAGTGGAAAAAGGATATCAAGGGGAAGGTAACGCCTTTGCAGGAGAGGCAGTTGAGAACTTGAGCATTAGAGTGGTTGCTGTTGTCCTAGTGGAAGTGAAGGGATGTGGCAGATTCGGTGCTTACTCATCTACTAAGCCAAGAAAGTGCACTGTAGGATCAAGTATGATTGATTTTGCCTATGATTCATCCTCTGGATTGGTCACCTTTAACTTGGATGATATGCCTTCTGAGGATCAAAAAGTCCACAATGTAGAGGTGGAATTATAGATGCACTGCTCTTGGTGAGACCTGAGCATGATGATGTGCGAACTTAAGGTGCTATTGCCATTAGTGGCATGCGGATGAAAATGTACCATGATACAGGATCTGAAAAAGGCTCGCGGGATCCAACCTAATAGCCAGAGGGGAGGTCAAGCTCAGATTAATCATCTGTTGTCATGAATACTGTGCTATTTTTTGCTGCAATTTCTTCCACTTGCATAAAGTTGCAGCCCCTGGCTCTTGTTTAAACTTAGATCGATGTCAATTCAAACGATGCTGAATATATCGTTCTCTTTGGTTTCTAATAGTATAAAATGATCTCACGTTACTCCAATGTGGTGCTAACCATGAGAACGGAGACAGGGCTACATTTTTCCGTAGCTGCAAAAGACTCTATACTTTGAGCGTGCAAAACTAAGAATTCTTAGCAAAATGATGTCCCGTCCCCTTGAAAAGTTTAGAAGCTGTCCAAATTCAGTAAAAACAGTAATTGTTAAGATCCACTTAAAAGATTAGAGTAAACGAGCCAAGCTGTTCGTTTTTTATTGACGCAAAATTAGCGTTCCACATTGAGAAGTCAACATACGAGACCAAACAGATGAACCTTAACAGATGCCTGCTTTATTGACAACCCCAGTAAAACTTCCTCAGCAGTTGCAAAATTGGAACCTTCTTTTGCTCTTATCCTCAACTTCATTCATAATGGAACCTAAAGCAGTGCAAACTAATTTCAAAAGATACCATCCACCAGAAGAAAAGAGAAGACGGGGATTAGAGCAGCAGTACTTCAAAAATCTCAGCAAGGCATAATATAATTTCTTGGACTAGGAAAAGGAAACTACCGTATGTTGTATGTACAAAATAGAAACCGCATATTATACTTCTCCGAAATGTATACTTCACGATTATGAACAGAAAAAAGGCGTACTTTACTTCCCTTCCTCCCCTCCCAAATGTTTTGACATTTGAAGAGGCAAGGCTAGATCAAGTGCTCAAGCGCTATGATGATATTGACATCCTCAACCTTCCTCAAGGGTTCATCAATTGTCGACAAGGTTCTATTCCTGAATCAAGAAAACATCCCGTCGAATAATGGGGATAAGCATCATATGCTGCTCCTCAATCCATGCGGCTCGTCATTCTTCGAAGTTTGCCTTGTCATTAGAATGCCAAAACTGCCCTACAACCTCAGTCTGTGCTTTTGAAGTTTTTGTCATCCTGTTATTTATCATCTTTGCCTTCATCTTCAAATTCAGGTAGACATAGAAGCTCTGCTTCCAATTCATTGCCAAAGTTCTCATCATCATGACCATCATCCTGCTCTTTAATTTTCCCAAAGTCTTGCTCAGGTATAAAGTTGTCCAGTTCGTTTCCTGCAAAGTTGTCATCACATCTTTGCCGTATAGAATGCCTATTTGTTTCCTGTTCTCCAGGCGGCACGCTCCCAAGTAAATGGGACTTTTCTGTGGAACCAGTGAGCCGTGCGAGCTGGTTAGATGTAATGGATAGAGGGCCCATGCCTGTTTGTTGATAGAACAACCCTTTCTCATTGTTCCAGTCTTCTGCAGTCTTCTCCACCACATCCCCAATCAATTGCTTATTTTCCATATTGTGCTCAATGCTGTGGACATCTATAACCTCACCAGCCTCTGCGACAGGAATTTTGAAAGGATAAGAGTCAACTGAAACATAAAACCAATAGAGAGCAATGAAAGGAAACAAAGTGACTCATGACAGCAGCAAGAACAAAATACGCCTTCGACGACCCCAGGCCCAACCCCAAGACAAAGAGAGAAGATATAAGAGGGAACTAGAAAAATAAAAAATGGACCCATGACTAAAATTTGTAATGGGAAAGGTTAATAAGTTAAAAAGAACAAGAAAAAGTGAGAAATGAGAGAGAATAAAGAAATCTGTGAGCTAGCTGAAAATTCAACGTGAAATCTGTCACTTGGCAAAAAGAGCTGAATTTGCAATTTGGAACCTATGTCCTCTTTGTGTAGTGTATTAGAGAAAATATCAACTTTGATTAATCACAACTAGATGAAAGCTTAGGAACATAAAGGTTAACTTTCTTGATTGTTCTAGAGGGAAAAAAAAATGGAATTCAGTCCCGTGCTTCTTCCCACTGTATCCTCAGATTTGCAAATGCTGCTAAGACTTGATATTCTAAGCCAATACTTCTTCCTTATGTTAAACATTTTCTTATTTCCTCGTAAAATTATGTGGAACAAGTATGGTTCTTACAAACAAAATTTATCATTGCTTTTGCACTAGTGTACACAGATGACAAGCATCAACAGGTCATCGAAATGGACTCATCCACACCACTACATACAAAATGTTAGGTAGAATGATCTAAAAACGTACAAATTGATGAAGATACCTTTGATAATTAGTTCCTTAGCAGCTGCATATTCTGATGATTTTCTTTTGAGCAAATCAACATCAAGCTCCATTCCCTGGAACACATGAAATGTTGTAGAAAACACAGCAATGAGGCAAAATCATAATAAAATGGGATAGAGCAAAATTTTAAGAAAATAAACCTAAAAACATTACACATTGTTGTAACAGAGATGTGGAACCGTTTATGACTACAAAAACCAAAAGCAGTCCACAGTTACAATCATATAATTTACACACCCAACCCCCAAAGAGTGAGTGTTCTTCGCAGTATTGTTGCACTTTCATAAAAATTACAAACTAATAAACGAACAAACAGTTCTATTGATTTGATGCCAAATATGCCTGAAGTATTCAACAACTCGATTATATTACCATTCTGTGCATATCCAAACCAATAAAATTCTCTATATCAATTTCATTAGAGGGCCTTTGTCTAAAGATATCTAACAACAGGTCATTGAACTTACCAAGTCCATGTGGATGAAGTCTTCAATCCGCGTATTAGCAAATAACCTGTCGAACCACAAATGTTAGTAAGGCTTTCCAAAAAAAGGTCAAATAAGGAGACTGAGATACTAAAGTAATCTCTAACAAAACAAGAGGAAAAAAGCAAAACAGATTAGCAATATACTTCTTGTATGCTACTTGAACACGTGCATTCTGAATGTCTGAGACTTCATTTACCCTCTCTGTTGCAGAGCCATCAGTTATATCCACAAATCCAAAAAGGAACATATTCCTCTGTAGCATATGTTTTACTAAAGCAGAAACCACTTTTATGTCCTTTTCTTTAGCACAGACAATGATGTTCCTAAGCTCCTTCAATTCACCTGTTCAAAGGAAAAGTAAGCATAGTTAGAAACATGTGATTGTACTGTAATTTGTTTTGGAGCACTCCTAACTTCCATTCCGGCCAAAAAACTGATGAGCTTGTCCCTTTTCAGTATAGCAATACCAGGAGAAAATTGCAGTCTGAAAGCAACTTTTACCTTACGAACAACTTGAAAAGAGTTACCGCCTTAATACTTAAACACAGTTTTCAAGAAAAGAAGTCTAGAAAGTTTCATATAATCTTGTTTTTCATTTCGGAAGCCATGAAGCTTTAAAAGGAAAACAAGCTTTTAAGGCTCTAGAAGTCAAAATCCCAAACATCTGCAGCAGAAAGATGCTAATAGAGATGCACATACATGGAAATTACTGATAGTGCTTCTAGAGCACGGTAGATATAGGACAGAACATTGACAATTGCAATAAATTGATGATCTAAGAAAATCAATCAAGTATGATATATTTGATGAAGTTCATTTGTCACCAAGAGAATTGCAGACTTACGTAGACATAAATAAATCTTGAAAGGAGGCTTGAATGGTTGAGTCTCAAATAAGCAGTAAAGGCAATAAAGCCCACCCAGTCTGTGTGAAAGGGAATTTCCAGACACCATGTATCCTGCATAAAATAAAAAACAAGAGAGATAAGTCCAAGATGACAAAATTTGCCCTTGTTTCCAATTGAAGAAGAAAAAGTGCATGATTCATGTATTGGGATCCTGAAGTTGCATGTATTAATATCTGAAAAGTTTCACATCAGCCACTTCCTTAGTCAGTGGTTTTGCAGTGTGGCTTAGGGGAACAAATAAGATTTTCATGACATTGAGGTTGGCAAGTTTAAGCACCCTGAACAAGGAGCCAAGAGGGATTTTTTTTTTTTTTTTTTTTTAAGGGGGAAGAAGGGGGAGTGCTATTTATAAAGCTGGCAGAAGTATCAATGTATAAAAGCTTTGGGAATTCCATGTCTACAAGACTTAGATACATGTTTCTCTGCTTAATGAAAGTAATCATGTCTAGCACAGACATCATATATATAAATGCAATTTCATTTAATCATCATGAAATACAAGCATGATAATGATAGACATAACTCAAAAATAATTATTGGCTATTCCAACCACCAACCACTATTTGAAGAAAAAAAATAGAAAAAGGAAAAAGATTCTGGGCCAAGCTTAATTTACTGAATGCCAGCCTGTTGCGATCAGTCATGTTCAAGCAGCCTCTTCACCCCATGCCGGAAAAACACACATACATTTATCTGAATCAATAATAAACGAGATGGCTAGTTCAGGGCACAAGCAGAAGAGCAGGTCAAGGAGTATATATACCAATGGCGTGGGCGAAGAGGGACTGCGTAAAGCAAGCCTGGTTTGTGGAAGGACTGGCCTCAAAGATGAAAGAGAACTTTCTTGAACGCCAAATTGCCTTCAATTCTGCAAATTCAGTCGATCCAGCCTATGCAAACATTAGGACAAACCGACCCCCATTATGAAAATTAAAGAGAGAAACTTTTGTAAAAAACCAAATATTACTGCTTAAAAACATATTAACACCAGTTGAATAATGGAAGAAGTAACTTCTTGAGTGAGCAAGATTTTTACCTGAGCAAATTCACTGATGAGCTCATCAATGTCCAGCTTGAATGGCTTCAGGTCCGTCATCATCGATACTCAACCATCCAACTCACTCCTAACAATTAGTCTCTCCACAAATAATCAAACATCCCATCACTTGAGAGGCAACCCCCCAACCCCTAAAAGAGAAAGGAAAACAAATCACGCAAGTCGTAACACATGTATATGTACTTATTCAACAAAGATGAGTTGGGAGAAAGAAGGAGAATAAAATAAAGGGCCGGAGAGAGTCCTCCGGTTTTGAAGTCGAATAATCGGCAAGGCACGGCACGGCACGGTGATGAAAGAGGAGGAGGGGGAGGCTTAAAAATAAAAAATAAAAAATAAAAACCGTAAAGACGACGGCGTTTTTTCAGAGCGTCATGCTGGCGGGTAGCTGTTGAAGATTTGTCCAGCTAGTTTGGGAAGTGGGCCGGGATGGACTGCAGGCCAACACTGAGTCTCAAGCTTTTCTTTTGGGC